CCTTTGTGATTATACCATAGGATAGTAGCTTTGTGTTGTGAAGAGTATTTGAAGCCATCAAACTTTAGAAATGTATTTTCCTAGATATTTGAGTATCTTGTGTTTATAGTTATCGAGGCAGACATCGACATTGATGACCAATGTTGATGTAGCCCTAACATTGCGCGTGTGTGTATCGTATTGACATATCTCCAGCATGACACATGCGTGTATCGTATTGACATATTTCTCGCATGGCACGTGTGTGCATTGTTTTGACATATCTCTAGTATGGCACGTGTGTGTATCGTATTGACATATCTCTAGTATGGCACGTGTGTGTATCGTATTGACATATCTCCAGCATGGCACGTGTGTGTATCTTATTGACATATCTCTAGCATGGCACGTGTGTGCTTTGTTTTGACATATCTCTAGTATGGCACGTGTGTATCTTATTGACATATCTCCAGCATGGCACGTGTGTGTATTGTTTTGACATATCTCTACCATGACACGTGTGTGAATCGTATTGACATATCTCTAGTATGGCACGTGTGTGTATCTTATTGACATATCTCTAGCATGGCACGTGTGTGTATTGTTTTGACATATCTCTAGCATGACACGTGTGTGCTTTGTTTTGACATATCTCTAGCATGGCACGTGTGTGAATCGTATTGACATATCTCCAGCATGGCACGTGTGTGTATTGTTTTGACATATCTCTAGCATGACACGTGTGTGCTTTGTTTTGACATATCTCTAGCATGGCACGTGTGTGAATCGTATTGACATATCTCTAGCATGGCACGTGTGTGTATTGTTTTGACATATCTCTAGCATGACACGTGTGTGAATCGTATTGACATATCTATAGCATGGCACGTGTGTGTATTGATTTGACATATCTCTAGCATGATACGTGTGTGAATCGTATTGACATATCTCTAGCATGACACGTGTGTGTATCGTATTGGCATATCTCTAGCATGACACGTGTGTGAATCGTATTGACATATCTCTAGCATGACACGTGTGTGTATTGTATTGACATATCTCTAGCATGACACGTGTGTGTATTGTATTGACATATCTCTAGCATGACACGTGTGTGTATCGTATTGACATATCTCTAGCATGACACGTGTGTGAATCGTATTGACATATCTCTAGCATGACACGTGTGTGTATCGTATTGACATATCTCTAAAATGACACGTGTGTGAATCGTATTGCCATATCTCTAGCATGACACGTGTGTGAATCGTATGGTCATATCTCTAGCATGACACGTGTGTGAATCGTATTGCCATATCTCTAGCATGACACGTGTGTGAATCGTATTGACATATCTCTAGCATGACACGTTTTTGTGTATTGTGTTGCCATATTTCTAACATGACACGTGTGTGTATTGTATTGCCTTTTCTCAAGCATTGCACGTGTGTGTATTGTATTGACATATCTCTAGCATGACACGTGTGTGTATTGTATTGCCATATCTCTAGCATGACACGTATGTATATTGTATTGAGACATCTCTAGTATGACACGTATGTATTAGTGTATTGAGACATCTCTAGTATGACACACGCGTGTATTGTATTGACACATATCCAGCATGGCACGTGTGTGTACCTTATTCAGATCTCTAGCATGGCGCACGTGTGTGTGTTGTATTGCCATATCTCTAGCATGACACGTGTGTGAATCGTATTGACATATCTCAAAAATGACACGTGTGTATTGTATTGACACATCTCCAGCATGGCACGTGTGTGTATTGAGATCTCTAGCATGGCGCACGTGTGTGTATTGTATTGACATATCTCAAAAATGACAAGTGTGTGAATCGTATTGACATATCTCAAAAATGACACGTGTGTGAATCGTATTGACATATCTCCAGCATGACACGTGTGTGAATCGTATTGAAATATCTCTAGCATGACACGTGTGTGAATCGTATAGACATATCTCTAGCATGACACGTTTTTGTGTATTGTATTGCCATATCTCTAAAATGACACGTGTGTGAATCGTATTGCCATATCTCTAGCATGACACGTGTGTGAATCGTATGGTCATATCTCTAGCATGACACGTGTGTGAATCGTATTGACATATCTCTAGCATGACATGTGTGTGAATCGTATTGACATATCTAAAAAATGACACGTGTGTGAATCGTATTGACATATCTCAAAAATGACACGTGTGTGAATCGTATTGACATATCTCTAGCATGACACGTGTGTGAATCGTATTGACATATCTCTAGCATGACACGTGTGTGAATCGTATAGACATATCTCTAGCATGACACGTTTTTGTGTATTGTATTGACATATCTCTAAAATGACACGTGTGTGAATCGTATTGCCATATCTCTAGCATGACACGTGTGTGAATCGTATGGTCATATCTCTAGCATGACACGTGTGTGAATCGTATTGACATATCTCTAGCATGACACGTGTGTGTATCGTATTGGCATATCTCTAGCATGACACGTGTGTGAATCGTATTGACATATCTCTGGCATGACACGTGTGTGTATTGTATTGACATATCTCTAGCATGACACGTGTGTGTATCGTATTGAAATATCTCCAGCATGACACGTGTGTGAATCGTATTGACATATCTCTAGCATGACACGTGTGTGTATCGTATTGACATATCTCTAAAATGACACGTGTGTGAATCGTATTGACATATCTCTAGCATGACACGTGTGTGAATCGTATGGTCATATCTCTAGCATGACACGTGTGTGAATTGTATTGCCATATCTCTAGCATGACACGTGTGTGAATCGTATTGACATATCTCAAAAATGACACGTGTGTGAATCGTATTGACATATCTCAAAAATGACACGTGTGTGAATCGTATTGACATATCTCTAGCATGACACGTGTGTGAATCGTATTGACATATCTCTAGCATGACACGTTTTTGTGTATTGTGTTGCCATATTTCTAACATGACACGTTTTTGTGTATTGTATTGCCTTTTCTCAAGCATGGCACGTGTGTGTATTGTATTGACATATCTCTCGCATGACACGTGTGTGTATTGTATTGCCATATCTCTAGCATGACACGTATGTATATTGCATTGAGACATCTCTAGTATGACACGTATGTATTAGTGTATTGAGACATCTCTAGTATGACACACGCGTGTATTGTATTGACACATCTCCAGCATGACACGTGTGTGTACCTTATTGAGATCTCTAGCATGGCGCACGTGTGTGTGTTGTATTGCCATATCTCTAGCATGACACGTGTGTGAATCGTATTGACATATCTCAAAAATGACACGTGTGTATTGTATTGACACATCTCCAGCATGGCACGTGTGTGTATTGTATTGAGATCTCTAGCATGGCGCACGTGTGTGTATTGTATTGACATATCTCAAAAATGACACGTGTGTGAATCGTATTGACATATCTCAAAAATGACACGTGTGTGAATCGTATTGACATATCTCCAGCATGACACGTGTGTGAATCGTATTGAAATATCTCTAGCATGACACGTGTGTGAATCGTATAGACATATCTCTAGCATGACACGTTTTTGTGTATTGTATTGACATATATCTAAGATTGCATGTGTGTGTATTGTATTGACATATCTCTAGCATGGCACATGTGTGTATTGTATTGTCATATCTCAAGCATGGCACGTGTGTGTATTGTATTGCCATATCTCTAGCATGACACGTATGTATTAGTGTATTGAGACATCTCTAGTATGACACACGGTGGTATTGTATTGACACATCTCCAGCATGGCACGTGTGTGTATTGTATTGAGATCTCTAGCATGGCGCACGTGTGTGTATTGTATTGCCATATCTCTAGCATGACACGTATGTATAATGTATTGAGACATCTCTAGTATGACACACGTGTGTATTGTATTGACATATCTCTAAGATTGCATGTGTGTGTATTGTATTGACATATCTCTAGCATGGCACATTCGTATATTGTATTGTCATATCTCAAGCATGGCACGTGTGTGTACCTTATTGACATATCTCCAGCATGGCACGTGTGTGTATTGTATTGAGACATCTGTAGCATGGCGCACGTGTGTGTATTGTATTGCCATATCTCTAGCATGACACGTATGTATAGTATATTGAGACATCTCTAGTATGACACACGTGTGTGTATTGTATTGAGATCTCTAGAATGGCGCACGTGTGTGTATTGTATTGCCATATCTCTAGCATGACACGTATGTATATTGTATTGAGACATCTCTAGTATGACACACGTGTGTATTGTATTGACATATCTCTAAGATGGCATGTGTGTGTATTGTATTGACATATCTCTAGCATGGCACATGTGTGTATTGTATTGTCATATCTCAAGCATGGCACGTGTGTGTACCTTATTGACATATCTCCAGCATGGCACGTGTGTGTATTGTATTGAGATCTCTAGCATGGCACGTATGTGTATTGTATTGACATATCTCTAGGATGACACGTGTGTGCATTGTTTTGACATATCTCTACCATGGCACGTGTGTGTGTATTGTATTGACATATCTCTAGCATGACACGTGTGTGTATTATATTGAGACATCTCTACCATGACACATGTATGTATTTTATTGACATATCTCTAGCATGTCATGTGTATGGATCTTTTTGACATCTCTCTGTCATTTCGAATTAATGTATCTTACTGGTGTATCTCAGTCATGACGTATGTATGCATCTTAGTGGCATGTCTCAGTCATGACGTATCTATGCAACTCATTGACATGTCTCAGTCATGACGTATGTATGCATCTAAGTAACATGTCTCAGTCAGGACGTATGTATGCATCTTATTGACATGTCTCAGTCATGACGTATGTATGCATCTTAGTGACATGTCTCAGTCATGACGTATGTATGCATCTTATTGACATGTCTGTCATGACAAATGTATGCATCTTAGTGACATGGCGAATATATTGGCATATGTCTTTTGGGCACAGACAGATGTAAAGAGGATGATCCTGTGCGTGCAAGCCTGGCAATATCAGCAAAGTTATCTGAGTGTAAGTTAGCAAGTTTCCATAACCCCTATGCACTACCGGATCTAATAACGATGTATTTAGAAAGTCATAATCTGGTCTGCAGTTTTCATACTGCTAACGTATCATGGTGGCGTGCACCTTGCTCAACTAATTTGGTCCCAAATGTCTTCTGAATAAAACTTATATACAAAGTTGTCTATTTCATCGCCCAGTTTATATTTTTTGGCAGGCCGTAACATGTTAAAGATTGGCGACTTCATATCCCATTTCCGCTTCTCAATGACTGTGATAGCCTGGTCATGAAGAGATGTTTAAAGATAAACCTTGATTTTGTTTTAGGAAGTTTCTACAAGAGAAGAAGTGCACACTGATCTATCTATCCATATATCTTTGAAGGGATATCCTGGAATTACATCAGGTGTTTCTTTTGGAAACCTGCGGTGGCCATAAGGTACATGGAGTCTGATATTTCACTTACTTTTATCGTAGCCTTGTGCAAATTAAAACAATTTGTCACACACATATGTGAAAAACCAGATGTAAAAACAACCTAAAACATGGAAAATGTACTTTCAAGTAGCTATAGAATCGCTGAAATGTGAAGTGAAAATGTCAAAAACTAAAATGGAAATGTCCAAAACAAAAACGAAAAGGTCCAAAACTAAAATGAAAATGTCAAAAACAAAAATGAAAATGTCAAAAACAAAAGCGAAAATGTCAGAAACTAAAATGAAAATACAGAAAAGTATTTCCACGACAGTGATCATATTTCCACGACCGTGATCATATTTCCACGACCGTGATCATATTTCCACGACCGTGATCATATTTCCACCGCAGTGTAAATAGTTTTCACCGGTGTGGAAATATTATCACCGCGGTGGAAATATTAATACTTATTAAGCGAGGCAACTATACTGTACGCGCAAAACCCGTGAGCGCACATAACACTTGTTGATTTTATTCAGTTGATCATGTATTGCTACATTTCAGTGTTATTAAGCTCTATTTATCTCTACATTGTACATATTCAATGACATGCCGTCGGGCATGTGACTTTTGGTAGTTTAGATATAAAACATGTGGCCATATTATTTAACTAGCAATTTTATATTTAATATTTTTGTACTGTAAGGTTGTATTAAAGTAAAGCTCATCATTACGTTCTTCATAAACATCAAAGATCATGTAAGATTATTTTAGTTATTGGTAACACATATTGTACGTGTCTTACGAAGAGTCATCTTATTTATATTACAATACATTGTCCTTAATTGCGCTATATCACGTGTATTTTATTTTTCAACCAAATGTAAAATGTCTTCGTTTCATTGTTAAATGCAATTGTTTATTGTATGATACATTATCAGAAAGATTTATACTGTAACTGTTAATTCATAGTTTTCGGAATACTTTAATTGCTTTAGGTTGTACTTTGCTTTATGTTTTATTGTGATATAAAAATGACTGATGAGATACACGGACTAAAGACTGGCCACTAATAGATGCTTCTCTTGGTTGTTTTAAGGTATGCGGTCCCACGCTAATTCCCCGACAACAAATTCTAAGCATTATAACCAGCCCAGACCAAACGTAACTCTTTAAAGGTTATTATACAGGTCAGAAGGTTTATTATAGTAGTATAACTACAGCTGCTTTTGCAGTAGACATAAAAATCATTATGTACACTATCAGTAAATGACATTCTCACTTACAAAGAATATATCAGTGCTATCTAGTCTGGTGCAAAGTTCGCTTGTTCCATACATTATACCTCGTATATTCCAGATTCCAAGGAGGTCCCAGTCGTCTAAGGCGTCGCATTTGCCGTGCAGAGTTGCGCCCCTTGGGTACGTCAGTACCTATGATTGTGGGTTCGAATCCCGGTTCGCCCTGATTATGTTTCTAGGTTTGTCAGCACCATACCCGTGCTCGTGGGTTTCACCGAAGTTGTAAACGTCTAAGACCTGCATCACTTCGGGCTTTCCTCCCACATTAAGCTGACACGCCGTGATATAACTGGAATACTGTTAAAAGCGGCGTTTAACCCATCACACTCACTCACTTACTTTTTGGTTTCCATTCCCTGCAGGCCAGAAAGTTTCACCACATTGGTTGGGGACATTGATACGTATAGTGTATGTGGGATTGCCTCCTTCCTAGTGTTTCCTAATGTTTGGATAACACCGAATGGATCTGTATTTGAAAGGAGGAGCCACACAGCCTTGTAAGTTTTTCTATCTTTGAGTAATCCTTGAACATGTTATGTTTTTCTAGGATGGAGGACAGGCCGTATATATGCACAGTACTTACCTAGAATGGCAAGCATTTGCCTCTTGGCATATCTTCAGGTTATTATGTGATATCCTTGACGTATATGGTGTAGTATTTGGGATGTGTCTTTTGACATATTGCTATTCTAAAACCTATCACACTTCGTGTTTATCAATGACATCACGTGGATATTCCGGTTAAGAATATAGACGCCTTCCACATGATCAGGTTTGTCGTAAGAGATCAACACGCTATGAAATATGAACTGAACTTTGATATAAACTTTCACTACAGTCTTCAGTCTTGCTTGTTTTCTGAATTGGCGATAGGGCCTATAGATCTATCTACTATAGAGAAGAACAGTGGTCCTATTGATTGCGTGCCATCGTATACCATGTGTGTGGATCGATCCCATCTCTGGATTGTTGCCATGACTGAATTATCTAAAGACACACAATTGGGTTATTGCTAGGGGTGGCTTTACACAGCAAGTTAACAAATCGTATTCATATTTTCAGCAATAACTTGGTATGGAGAGTACATCGAAGAACATCGACGGAGGCTGGGCGTGGGTCATCCTGACCTGTGGCTTCTTCTGTATGTTTCTGAATGGCTTCATGTGCTATTCTGTGGGAGTCATCACTGAAGCATTGCTGGAAGAATTTGAAGGAGATCTTGCTGTTACTGCTGCCGTTGGAACATCTATTATCGGAATCGAAAATTTGTTAGGCGAGTTCAATCATGCAAATACTATTTTCAGATCTGTGACATTAATGTAGCTCTCATCACATTATATACGCAGCTGTTCATAACATTCCCCAAATACATACAGTATTTAAGATTAGAAGAATACTTCCCCAATACTTCAAAACAAAGCCGTACTGTTGGCACTGAACGCGTACAAATAATACCAGTTCTGTAAGGGGCACTGGCGACTCAGTCGTCTAATGTCCCACTATTCGCTACGGTGTTAAACCCAACTCACTCACTCACTCACCAACACAGTAGCCAACGTGAAATCACCCATCAATCACAAGCGGTTGCATGGCCGAGTTAATTCTTCTTTGACCAGTATTACTACCAACCATAAGCCAAAAACGGTACGGTGCAGGTCGCAGACGTCTTTCGTAAAAATATTGGAGCATAAATATGTTATATATTACATAACTTGGGCGACACTGGGAGTCAAATCGACGATAAGACCAATGTGCTACGATTTCAGGTCTACCTGTCTGAATACACTATTTTTCTTTCACATAATAGGGTTTCGTAAGCACCTGTGTGTATGTATATTTTAAACATTTTTTTATTCGTTTCAGGACCTTTCATTGGCATAGGCATTAATATATTCGGATGTCGCAGTTGTACAGTATTTGGAGGTGTCATTGCGATGCTTGGACTCCTAGGTGCATCATTTTCAAAGAATCTATCATCAATGATGGGTACCTTTGGCATTGTGGGTGGTATGTACTTTTGTCATTTACTTTGTATAATGGGACAAATAGCTAGCAAGAGGAGTTATTTATACATTTTCTACTTTATGTTTCAGTTATGGCGAAGGATTAGAATCATAGTTACTGGTTACTTTATAAGAATAGGATTCCTCCCATTGTCCAATGCTCTTTTTGTTCGAATTTAAAGGTTTTCATTGTATAAGGAAAAGTGTCATCTATATGTCTGACGCCTTCATCTTTGTTGATTCACATATAAGTGTCGACTATATCCTAGCATGTGTTCATGAATCACTATCATCTTGTGACGATACGAGTTACCAGATCTTCGCGAAAAGGTGAATGGCTCTTGTCCCACCGATGGCACCCATAACATACAAAGTAAATTGTTCACATGAAAAAAAAACCCAGAAACATTTGGTAAAAATAAAAAAAAACACTCGATCATCAGACATGATCAGACAAGAAATTCAAGCTACAAAGAATGCATAGTTTGTTGAAGGACCCCAGGTTGATTTCGTATATTCCTGTTCCATAGTAAACTTTGAATCAATATCTTTTCTTTAGGTATCGGATATGGGTTTGGCTTTCTACCAGGGAACGTGATGGTCGGTTTGTATTTTAAGAAACTGCGCCCAATAGCAGCTGGAATAACGATGGCAGGAGCAGGTCTCGGGATGTTTGTTGGTCCGCCTGTCATTCGCTACCTCATCGACATGTACAGCCTTCAGGGAGCCTTACTTGTCGTCGCAGGGATTGCCCTTCATTTCTCCATATTCGGATGTCTAATGAGACCCTTGGAAGAAAATCACAATAAATCAAAATCAACAAGCAGTCAACGTTTAGAATCTCAGTCATGTATGCTTCTTTTGACAAAAATGTGGACAAAATCGAAGGAACGAATGGGTGGCAGATGTTCCTCTAGGATATGGAAGAACTATGGCTTCTTGTTATACGTCCTCAGCATCTTTGGATGGAATTGTGCAGAGTCAGCAGTTTTGTTGCATCTTCCAAACTATTGTATACAACAGGGTTCATCAAAACAAGAAGCAGCTTTCTTGTTCACGATTATGGGCGTCACTAACGTGTTATCCAGACTCTTTACTGGGTTCGCGGCCAATGACGAACGTGTGAGTAGCTTGATTCTCCACATGGGACAAATGGGTGTGGCGTCCCTCTTCACATCACTCTTCCCTCTGTACTCTCACGCGTACAGTGGGCAGGTTATGTTTGCTGCTGCGACGGGGATGTACATAGGGGGAGTAAATACTCTCTTCACGCCAATACTGTTTCTGTTGTTGGATAAAGAGGATCTAGCGTTAGGATTTGGGATGGTGTACTGCACTGCTGGAATCGGATACATGACTGGTCCTCCTGTTGCAGGTAATGGCTATTTTGTGATGTATCGTGCTGAAATATTATCGCCACAAGTATACCCCCAAAGAACACTCTTTATCTATCACATATTGGCTAGGGTGGGTAATGGGGCCTCTAAATAGTGGCAGCAAAAGGTGCAATGTCAGCCCTTTGACGATTTACAAAGTTTTGGGTTTCTTCTTTATAGACGAGGCATTTCTTGCAAGGTAACAATCTCATGAAAATCCTTTGTTCCCACAGTATACCTCTGTGCATTAGGATATGCTTGAAAGACAATTGTGCCACTTTGGGCTAATGTGTGTGAACTATAAACACAGAACAGAAACAAGTACTGCTCTCAGAGAGTGTACTTGTACCAAGCTCAACACAAACGTCTTAACATTGGTTTCTGACATCACTTCAAGTGTTGTCTCCATCCCACATGGGTCAATGGGGCACATTAGAACTGTTTGTTCATATAAACCTTAAAAAGAGTCCTATAAAGCATTAAGAAGAGATAGGCATCAGACAAATTGCTTAAATGTGAAATTAATGTACACAAAAGGCTCCTTCTCTGGAAACAAAAAGTAATTTATGGCACCATTTTTCCATCTCTGTCTTCACAAGTCCCCATTGCAGACACTATGCAGAAAGTCGAAAAGCATGGAGTAAGGGCTGTTACCCTGGAATGAAATAGTTTACGGGACCAATTTCCAAACTCAGTCTTGACAAGTATCTCTTAGATAAGCATGCAAACTTTTATTCATGTAATTTTAGTAATTTCTGAGAAAACTTGTCACCATTGCGCGTAGTGTGTAACAAAGTTGAAATGAATGGAGCAAGGGCCGTAACTCTGTAAAAAATAATTTAAGACACCAATTTCCGAACTCATCTAAGATTAAACCAGTAACATCAGTGTATAAATTTTCTTTTTTTCTAACTTAAATAGTTTTTGAGAAAATTTGTCCCCTTTGGGAAGCGGATGGACGGACGGAAAGACGTATTTCAATAGATACAATGAGACTATCTGAAGTACTCTGTATGCAGTTAGATTCTTACAAGCGCACGTAAAATCCGAAACATGGCGAAAAAGCAACTTCAGCATCTGAGGCATAACATTTTCTTTTTATCCAGGTGCCATAGTTGACAGCGGAGCGACGTATACACAAAGCTATTTGTTTGCATGTACGTACAGGCTAAGGTCAACGCTGGGCGAATCCACGCAACGTTCCGTGAAACCGTTTTTGGTTTGCTTGGAATAGAATGTTGTTGGTGTGATTAAGTCTTCCACCTACCAGTTCGCGCAACGTTGAGCGGACTCGTCCAGTTGCCCCAGCCGGGGTACATTTCTGTATCCGTATATTGGCCACAGTACATTTCTATAGCTGTCGTCAGGATAATGACCCTTTCAGCCCCATTGATAGCTCCTAGTGTCTCGTAAGTTTTTCTCATAAAGAATTCGAACTCAGAAGAATAAATTTCACGTACTCATTTCCATTTTTATGACATTTAAAAAAAGTCAAACATTTGTTTTAAAATCGTGAACATCTTATAAAATTGATTTCCTCTTTTGACTGAATGATCACAAGATTTCTGACTAAACGTCTTCATACTTTTTCTCAATTCCAGCATCCATGTTCCTGCTATCAAGCGTGCTGATCATGCTCATTCCAATTGCTCAAAGTGTGGACAACAAACTGATTTCAAATATGAACCAAGACATTTCCGTGAATATAGAGGAAGAGGTGAATGAGGGGTCTAGATGGTTGCCAGAACAGGATGGGTCTTGTGGTAGTTCGTAGATGAAGGACATACTGATACCTGCTTGGAAAGACCATCCAGTGAGAGTGATTGAGGACAGAAACTAGATGCTATTGATTTAAACGAAGCCATATTACCAGTTTGGCGAAGTGATTGAGAACAGAAGTTAGATGTTAGTGCTGAAGACGAAGCCATATCACCTGTTTGGCGAAGTGATTGAGAACAGAAGTTAGATGTTAGTGCTGAAGACGAAGCCATATCACCTGTTTGGCAAAGTGATTGAGAACAGAAGCTAGATGCTAGTGATGAAGACGAAACCATATCATCTGGTTGGCGAAGTGATTGAGAACAGAAGCTAGATGCTAGTGATGAAGACGAAGCCATATCAAAGTGATTGCGAACAGAAGTTAGATATTAGTGCTGAATATAAAGCCATATTGATACCTGTTTGGTAAGAACATTCAGTGATGATGAGAGACTGAGAACAGAGGCAAATTGTTTGACGTTTGTTTGTTGTTTAACGCCGCACTGAGCAATATCCCAGCTATATGACGGCGGTCTGTGAATAATCGTTAAGGGACCAGACAACCCAGTGATTGACATAATGAGCATCGAGCTACCACTGCCAGCAACTGGCCAGCGAGCCTGACCACCTGATCCCATTAGTAGCCTCTTTCGACAAACATTCACATTGCCACATACCTCCAGATGGATGCATAAGGATACAAAATAAAACACAACAGTTTTTGGAACATGCACGTGCATCAGTGATATATTGGCAAACTCATTTTTTAATGGGTACCCGTAAAAATACACGTGCAATAATGGCATACATTACACTGGATCGTTGCCCAAATATCACCGGTAATGCAAAATCATAAAATATATCTAACTTTTAACTGTACAAGATGAGGGTGACATATGGATGAGGCAAATGGGTGCCATCTGCTTCAAGATTGCAAGCAACTTGAACAAGTGCAACCGCCGACAGACTGTTTTTGACGTTACAGACAGACTGGCAGAACATGGGTCTGGGCAAGATCAGTCAGACCACGGGTGTTGGACTCCACAGGGTGACCCTAAGGGATACAATAGGACGTCTAAGGCACCGCGATTCGCTGTGCAGAGTTGGGTCCCTTGGGCACGCCAGAAACCTAGGATTGTGGGTTCGAATCCCGGTTCGCCCCGATTATGTTTCTAGGTTTGTCAGCACCATACCCGTGCCCGTGGGTTTCACCGAAGTGGTAAACGTCTGAGACCTGCATCACTTCGGGCTTTCCTCCCGCATCAAGCTGACACGCCGTGATATAACTGGAATATTGTTAAAAGCGGCGTTAAATCCAACTCACTCACTCACTCACTCACTCTTTTGCCCGGCAGTTTATGTAGCAATTGACCAAACATGTTGTCATCAATCGAGGTGAAGCTTATTGGAGGAATTATCAAAAGGTATAATCACACACAATTGATAGACCTCATTGCCATTGCCGCAACAAGTACACCTTATATCAAAGATGAATACACATCGGCAGCAAGTTGCTGAAGTGTTGTCACGTGACCATTGTTGACACGTGAAAAGTGAGAAATGAGTAATACGGAATAAGATTATGTTAGTGAATCTACTATTACATGTTATAGTTGGGCCATGAGTATACAACGATGCCGATCCAGACGGTTGGTTTGTTTGTTTGTTTGTTTGTTTGTTGTTTAACGCCGCACTCAGCAATATTCCAGCTATATGACGGCGGTCTGTAAATAATCGAGTCTGGAACAGACAATCCAGTGATCGATATCATGAGCATCAATCGACGCATTTGGGATACGATGACATGCATGAACCAAGTCAGCGAGCCTGACCACCCGATCCCGTTAGTCGCCTTTTACGACAAGCATAGTCACCTTTAACGGCAAGCATGGGTTGCTGAAGACTTATTCTACCCCGGAATCTTCACGGGTCCGATCCAGACAGCGACAGTGAGACACATAATACGGCTGAGTGGTCCCCCCTTCCCCACCAGGAGCCGTATGTCTTGAAGTCGAGTGATGGATCCGGACTTGGTAACAATCTCTCAAAACATGATGTTTGGTTTTTGAAACTTCACTGTACTGGTTGTCTCCAACTCCTAATCAGTTGAACATGCTTCCAGGTCTCCACGAGTTCGACAAAGCGAGGTTCGAATGTGTAGGTGCAAAAAGGAATTTCTCGAGTCGTTTTCGGGTACCACAGGTATCCTTAAGTTAGTGGAGTATGATGTTGATAAGATATATGACCCTTGTATCGACAATTTGACAATAACGAGTACCGTAATGTTAGTGAAAGCATATGCAATTTTCCAAGCATGTGTAAAACCCCCAATTGCGTGGATCGATGCTCGTGATATCAATCACTGGATTGTCTGGGCCAGACTCGATTGTTTACTGACCGCAGTCATATTGCTGGAATAATGCTGAGTGCGGCGTAAAACAACAAACCAACCAACTAGAATGCTTAACATCATCTGGGAACAGATTCAAAAGGCGTGAAGTATCTGGAAGAAAGGACTTACTGCACAGCGATGTCTTGCAAAGTGACCGCCTCCGTGGTCTAGTGGTAGAGCGTCCGCCCGGAGAGCGGAAGGTCCGGGGTTCGATCCCCGACCGCGTCATACCAAAAGACGTTAAAAGATGGTACTTGTTGTTACCCTGTCTGGCGCTCGGCATTAAGGGGTTAAAACAAGGACTGGTCGGCTCGGAGTCAGTATACTGTGTCTGAGTGGGGTATTCATGTTAAACTGCGGCATGGTATCTCAGTGAGCTAGCACTATAAATCGGCATCAGTCCGGACTAGTACAAGCAGCCACACAAACACACACACGTACATGCACGTCTCTATATAAGTGCAATAATCTTGGACGCGACGTTAAACCCCATTTCACCTCACCTCACATCTTGCAAAGTATTTCTTGTAAATGCATACTATGTGTAATGATGTCTATCTGACGTGGGACAAGATTACATAGATATTTTGAGGCAGTATTGTTCATCATTTATTTTTTGCAATATAAACATAGTTTTTTTTATTTCTCTTACGTTCTTAAGAGGCTGTAGACCTTTCTACACATAAATTACTATGGTTTATACCCCAATGTTGGTCTTAAGGTGAGGTGAAATGGGGTTTAACGTCGCGTCCAAGATTATTGCACTTATATAGCGACGTGCATGCTTGGGTGTGTGTGTGGCTGCTTGTACTAGACCGGACGCTGCCGATTTAAAGAGCTAGCTCACTGGGATACCATGCCGCAGTTTAACATGAATACCCAACGCAGACACAGTATACTGACTCCGAGCCGACCATTCCTTGTTTTAGCCCCATAATGCCGAGCGCCAGATAGGGTAACAACAAGTACCATCTTTTAACGTCTATTGGTATGACGCGGCCGGGGATCGAACTCCGGACCTTCCGCTCTCCGGGCGGACGCTCTACCTCTAGACCACGGAGGCGGTCCTGGTCTTAAGGCATCAAGATGAAATCAAAGACTATTTCCTGTTGTCGTGTACAATAATCCGATATTTTAGAGATATGATCGATTACCAAAAAATAAGATAAATACTTTATTTCTAGCATTTTCCTGGTCCAGCGTTATTCTTAACTTCTCAAGCAATTACACAGAGGACCAGTTTTCTTAAAAACATTACTGATATGTTCATACTTATGGGCGTCTTCTTACTCCTAAATGTTTATAGGATGCTATATCACTAGACAAACGATCTTCATGACCAGGTGGACGCTTGCTTGAATGGATATAGATGTTATCGCCATGGAGACATGTTTCAAGTACAGGTGTCACGAGTGAATCATGGAATGCATCTTTATTAGGGGTCTGGGAAGATTCCGGGTAGAATTCGTCTTCTGCAACCCATGCTTGCCGTAAAAGGCGACTATGCTTGCCGTAAAAGGCGACTATGCTTGCAGTAAAAGGCGACTATGCTTGCCGTAAAAGGTGACTATGCTTGCCGTAAAAGGTGACTATGCTTGCCGTAAAAGGCGACTATGCTTGCCGTAAAAGGTGACTATGCTTGCCGTAAAAGGTGACTATGCTTGCCGTAAAAGGCGACTATGCTTGCCGTAAAAGGTGACTATGCTTGCCGTAAAAGGTGACTATGCTTGCCGTAAAAAGGTGACTATGCTTGCCGTAAAAGGCGACTATGCTTGCCGTAAAAGGCGACTATGCTTGCCGTAAAAGGCGACAATGCTTGCCGTAAAAGGCGACTATGCTTGCCGTAAAAGGTGACAATGCTTGCCGTAAAAGGCGACTATGCTTGCCGTAAAAGGCGACTATGCTTGCCGTAAAAGGTGACTATGCTTGCCGTAAAAGGCGACAATGCTTGCCGTAAAAGGCGACTATGCTTGCCGTAAAAGGTGACTATGCTTGCCGTAAAAGGTGACTATGCTTGCCGTAAAAGGCGACTATGCTTGCCGTAAAAGGTGGCTATGCTTGCCGTAAAAGGTGACAATGCTTGCCGTAAAAGGCGACAATGCTTGCCGTAAAAGGCGACTATGCTTGCCGTAAAAGGCGACTATGCTTGCCGTAAAAGGTGACTATGCTTGCCGTAAAAGGCGACTATGCTTGCCGTAAAAGGCGACTATGCTTGCCGTAAAAGGCGACTATGCTTGCCGTAAAAGGTGACTATGCTTGCCGTAAAAGGTGACTATGCTTGCCGTAAAAGGTGACTATGCTTGCCGTAAAAGGTGACTATGCTTGCCGTAAAAGGCGACTATGCTTGCCGTAAAAGGTGACTATGCTTGCTGCCGTAAAAGGTGACTATGCTTGCCGTAAAAGGTGACTATGCTTGCCGTAAAAGGTGACTATGCTTGCAGCTGACTACGATGATCCGACTTCACATGAACATGAACATTTTTGTTGTGATACCTTGAATCACGTGCAAACAGAAGGTGACGAAACTTGGAAGAAACATATTTCTCAAAAGTTTTGGCTTCTGAAGTTTGAAGGCATGATCTTCAATAAAACATACTTCATTGTAATCTTCACCATTATCAAAATTAAAATTGACTGGTTTTTTGTATTTAGGATCGTAGTTGTTTAATGAAGAATGTTTAGCTACAGTTTGACCTATTCAATTTGCGACGTCAGATTTATCTTTTAACATGTCATGACCATCTTTGAGATGTTGAATACTGGAAAAATAATTATAACCCTGACCTTTATTTCTTTGAATCAAATGCCACACCTTCACACAGGTGTACATGAATTGAATTTGGATACATACCTTGACATTATTTAACTATAGGGTGTCAGCGGAAATACGTTTCTGCCGTTCGCGTATACTTTCTAACCTGTTTGCAATCATCGCTAAACCATAGTTTACGAATGTGTGGATTTACAGATATACTTTTCAGAGTTGTGAATACCTGAACAGGGTCCTGGATATTTCTGAAAGTATCATGTTTCATTGTTTCAAATCAAAGCGTAATGGCCAATTTGCTTGATTACAATTGGAACCTTGTTGTATGAGGCTCACCAGATGGGTTAACAGCTCATAGTACTGTGAGGAAATGGTCACTTCCACATAGGTTTTTTGTTTGTTTGCGGGTTAACGCCGCACCCAGCACCGTGCGAGCTACATGACGGCGGTCTGTAAATGATCGAGTCTTGACCAGACTATGGAATCATAAAAGGATAGCACTATACATAACAATACATGATAAAAAAGGGCTATAGATCGCCAGCCTCTGAAGGTAGATCACCATACTGGGGACCATGTGAATCACTGGATTGTCTGGTCCAGACTCGATTATTTACAGACCGTCGTCATATAGCTGGAACATTGCTGAGTGCGGCGTAAAACAACAAACCAACCAACCAACTAATACAGTACCTTTGCTACCTGCATGGACCCCAGCAGGATTTACATCATCCCTTCTGATTTGGGTTATTATTAACACATTATTCTACGATTAAAGGACGTTATGAGAATAAATCTACTTTGAACGACCTGGTCTTAGATACCCTATCCAGTGGACAATCATTTTACACTACTTCAACCGCCTTCGAGGATACAGCCACTAACAATCTAAGTTATAACATTTATTCTGCCAATTATAAAATATCCTGTATTTTATGAACAATATATTAATCAAAATCAAAATTCGATTTCTTTCAACAAAAAAACCAACTAAATGAGAACTTGTATTCAAAAGATCCTTTATAGATAAAACTTTGAAATAGGTATCCCTTGTGAAGAAAAAATCGACACAGTCAAGATTCTTTCATCTTTCATCACAAGGGACACAGGACGGAGGATCCTCACCTTGCACAAACTACTTGTGTGTATATCTTGTTTGTGTGATGCTTAACCCCGCACTCAGCACTATTCCGGCGATATGACGGCGGTCTGTAAATAATCGAGTCTGGACCAGATAATCCAGTGATTGACATCATGAGCATCGATCCACGCATTGGGAAATAATGACAAGAATAGTCGCCTTTAAGGTCAAGCATAGGTCGCTGAAGAGTTATTGTACCCCGGATCTTCACGGGTATATCTTGAACGGCCAACACAACGTCATTAAATAAGTAGTCAGTGAAATTATTATTGTAAATGTAAATATTTATCGGGATTGACTTCAATATGTATTGGCGTTTTTTACGCGGACTCTCGCAACATATTACTTCCGAGCTGGCCATGTGATGATGGTTTGGATGCGAGACAAAGGCAAAAGAGTTGCATCAGCCGGAACTGTTATTGACCATGACGATGGGACGGACCTACACTGGTCTTCCATGTGCCTTTAGAACCGGAGAAGCTGCTATCCATTCAGCAATATTATCTTCTAGAGATAATATGGTATTTGTGTACGTGGAATTAAAAAATGGATATGTTTGAGAGAATATTTGATACATCTTTAATACACCTAAATTAGCAGAGACTCCTGCAAACATGAATTAAAATGGGACAAGTTAGTAATTTAATATTATGGTGTCCAATTGTATAGTGGTAAACCCAAGAAGAAAGTAATTCAGAGCAATAGCGATCACTTCATGGCAGCCATTGCCATTACCAGCCTGGCCTGAGAACAAATAGTATTGTTCGTAGATGTAAACATGAAAACAATTAGTTTGCTTTCATTCATAAAAGCTGGTAAAAACATGCTCATATTTCATATTTCAATATTCAATTAGATTAATTTCATCTCATAATGGAGAAATAATGATGTGTAGTACACCCTTGGAATACTCTAGAAGCAAGAAGGTAATACGAAGCTATTTATATCTTCTTCCTAGATGTGACTCTAAAAAGTCATTCACTCACTAACTCTTCTTCATAGCATTTATTAACAGGCCATTAAAAGTCGGAAACTCTCGCAACGAAGAGAATCTCGCGAGATTGCCCAGAAGCCCTTCTTCGTCAAGGCCTGAGACCTGATAAGAGGTCGAGGACAAGACAATGGGATAATCGGCGCATTTAACGCTCGAATCTGCAAAAGTAAGTGTTGTGACGAACGACCACGTGGATGGTCAGAACATGGCTGATTCAAGTTTAAAGTCTCGACCAGAGCCTTGACCGTCCTCCGGCCGTAAAAGAAATAGGAAAAGCGTGCGACTCTTGCCCGATTCTCAATTCCTAGGCTCTGATGTCTGGTGATAATTCGGATAGCTTGACATAGTAATACTGGCATAACCACCTTTGTAAAGGGTCAATCGATAGTATTCATGACAAACATCTCAATTCACATCAAATTATCGTATTGCTTGTCACACAGAGAAGGTACCAGAGTGTTTCCTGGTATGACTGGTTCGTTTGTTGTTTAACGCAGTCACCTTTTACGGCAAGCATAGGTTGCTGAAGTTTCAACCTATTCTACTCCGGAATCTTCAAGGGTATGAAACTATGCATTATTATTTCAGATTTTAGTTAAAATAAATTTGACAGTATAGGAATAAGGAATAATAATACACCATCACTTTTAGTTTATTCTGTCAATATGCTGTCAAATTGATTTTAACGTAAATCTGTGATAATATAGTACTGTCCTTTGGCGACATGTTTTATACAGTATAACTATATTTATTGTGAATGTATATATTTATCTCGTCACAATATGGCTGAAATATTGCCGCTTAGACTTTCACTTCACTCACATTATAGTCATATTAGTCATTGACATATATAGGGGCGGTGGGGTAGTCTAGTGGTTAAAGCGTTCCCTCGTCACGCCGAAGTCTCGGGTTCGATTCCCCACATGGGTAAATGTGTGAAGCCCATTTGTGGTGTCCCCCGCCGTGATATTGCTGGAATATTGTTAAAAGCGGCATACAACCATAGTCACTCACTCATCGACAAATATCAACTGGAACTTGTCAACCCATACATCACACATGTTTCCTCCCCAGTCTCCTCTGCCAACTTTGTTGCAGACATCTTCTGGTTTAACGTCGAGACAGTGTGTACATCCCTGTTGTGGACCAGTGGTATGACCATAATGATTACACTAGACAGCAGGAACATAGATGCTGCAAGTAAAACAACGACAGAGATGGAGGCCTGTATTTGCAACTATTACGGTGTTGGTTAACAATTGTTGGACCATTGTCGAAATTAGAGATACGTGAATGATAGAGATTTGCAGTTGACATGGCAAAATTTGGTCCAGATGTAACATTTATTTTTCATTTTGATCACAGTGAGTGAGTTGGGTTTTACGAGTTGAGCAATATTTCAGCGACATCACAGCGGGGGAACACCAGAAATGGGTTTCACGCCATTCCAATTTAAGTAGATATATGGTATAGCTTCAGGGAAAATGATAGGGGCTTGCATGACAAAATGGAGTGTTACTTACTGCGGAGTATATTTTGACAGAGGGAGATGAAAAAGGGAAGACATTTACACATAACCTGTACTTTGTGCCGTATGTGTTTACATACCTGCAAACGGAGTCAGTATACTGTGTCTGAGTGGGGTATTCATGTTAAACTGCGGCATGGTATCTCAGTGGGCTAGCACTATAAAATCGGCATCAGTCCGTTCTAGTACAAGCAGACACACACACAAATGCATGCACGTCGCTATATAAGTGCAATAATCTTGGACGCGACGTTAAACCCAATTTCACCTCACCTCACCTCACATACCTGCAAAAAGATAAGTTTCTGTATACGTTGCTCCACCATCAACTATAGCTCCTAAATAGAAAGACAAAGGTTATCTGGTTGAAAGATACTTGATTTAACTGAACTTAATATTGAAGTTGTAGTCACAAAGTTTGGGTTACATGAACGTTTGTGGTGCAGCGTAATTGATTATAATTCATCCCTTCCTGAAGACAGGGGATGGGGTGGTGCTTCGTTATGTTCTAGGAGTATATTTATCTTTACCTGCAATAGAAGGGCCAGACATGTATCCAATTCCAACTGAGAAATACACCATTCCAAATGCTAATGCCAGATCCTCTTGATCCACTAGCTGAAACACGATTGGTGTAAAAAGAGTGTTTGGTCCTCCTATATACATCCCCAAAGCAGCAACATACATGACCTGTCCACCGTATGTGTGAGAGTACAGAGGGAAGAGTGATGTGAACAGTGCAGCCACGCCCAAAAGACCCATGTGGAGAATCAAGCTACTCACACCTTCGTCATTGGCCGCGAACCCAGTAAAGAGTCTGGATAACACGTTAGTGACGCCCATAATCGTAAACAAGAAAGCTGCTTCTTGTTTTGATGAACCCTGTTGTATACAATAGTTTGGAAGATGCAGCAAAACTGCTGACTCTGCACAATTCCATCCGTATATGCTGAAGATGTACATCAAAAAGCCATAGTTCTTCCACACACCGGAGGAGCATCTGCCACCCATCCGGGTCTTCATTTTATCCAATAACCTTTTCCTGAAAGATATGCATGTTATAGCTTCCCCTGAAAGTCTTTTGTCCTTTTTAAGAGGTCTCATCAGACAACCACATACACAGAAATGAAGGGCAATCCCTGCGAGGACGAGAAAGGCTCCCTGAAGGCTGTACTTGTCAATGAGGTAGCGAACGAGAGGCGGACCAACAAACATTCCGAGACCTGCTCCTGCCATCGTTATTCCAGCTGCTATTGGGCGCAGTTTCTCAAAATACAAACCGACCATCACATTCGCTGGTAGAAACCAAAGCCGTATCCGATACCTAAGAAAATTAACAGTGTAAGGAAACTCAGAAGCACCAACATGATGCGTGGCATATGTATTTAAATCAGATAATTAAGTTTCACGAATTAATATGATCTAACATAATATTCTAATCTAATTTCGTGTCTACTGATACATCTGCAGCGCAGCCACACCACCTAGTAAACGTCTACATATAGTTTCGTTTTATTGTTTGAAAGAAAATGCGATTTCTAGGGAAACCAACTTGTCATCATGATGCGAAGCACATCTATACCAAAGGTTGTCTTTTCACATTGGATATTTGTTTTGATATATTACATTGAGACATTGAGTGCATTGCAGATTGGTTTATGACAGCAAGTATCTAGGGTCACAATTGACGCCGCAAGGTTCTTTGCAGAGTTATGTATCTTTGGCGTTCAAATCCTAGATCCGCCTCTATTTTGAAGTCTGAAAGTTCTCATTTCCGTCATCATGGGTTTCGCGAAAGGGTTTGTTTGTTTGTTAGTTGTTTAACGCCGCACGCAGCAATATTCCAGCTATATGACGGCGGTCTGTAAATAATCGAGTCTGGACCAGACAATCCAGTGATTGGTATCATGAGCATCGACACACGCAATTGGGATCGATGACATCCATCAGCGAGCCTGACCACCCGAGACCGTTAGTCGCCTCTTACGACAAGCATAGTCACTTTTTACGGCAAGTATGGGTTGCTGAAGACCTATTCTTTCCAGGATCTTCACGGGTCTAAGGTGTAAACCTCCCTCATGTCGCTTACACGTTGTGATGTAGCTGTATACTGTTCAAAACAATGTCAATGCAAACTGACCTACTCGCTATATTTGGGATAGAGATAAATTATAGTAGTGAGTGAGTTGGGTTAAACGGCGCTTTTAACAGTATTCCAGTCATATCGCGGCGTGTCAGCTTACTGTGGGAGGAAAGCCCGAAGTGGTGCAGGTTTTAGACGTTTACCACTTCGGTGAAACCCACGAGCACGGGTATTGTGCTGACAAACCTAGAAACATAATCGGGGCGAACCGGGATTCGAACCCACAATCATAGGTTTCTTGCGTGCCCAAGGGACGTAACTCTGCACAGCGAATCGCGGCGCCTTAGACGACTGGGCCACCCGTGCCCCCCTAAATTATAGTAAAATAAACTGTGTTGACATATTCTATTCTGTTGAATCGAATGACGACATGTGGTAGATCATATGCCTGCATGTGCAGGGTATATAATTTTGACATCATTAAACACATAACAACATGCCTGTCACAATACCAAGAGTCCCCATCGTTGATGGCAGGTTACTTGAAAGTGATGCCCCAACCAGTCCAAGCATTGCCACGAAACCTCCAAATAGTGTACACGTACGACAGCCTAAAAGGTTGATGGCAATTCCGATAAACGGCCCTGAAACACATGACTTCGTCAAATGCATACATTCATATATCGAATGGATATTCGCTATCTAACTGAGACAAGCTTATGTTTATTCCAGAATTATCAAAGGCATTGCATTGCAAAATTGTGAGTGGCCGTGTTATCAGTCTTCACCTGACATGCTTTGTTTTGGATGATTGGTTGGTTGGTTTGTTGTTTAACGCCGCACTCCATCTATATGACGGCGGTCTGTAAATAATTGAGTCTGGACCAGACAATGCAGTGATTGACATCATGAGCATCGATCCACGCAATTGGGATCGATGACATGCATCAACCAAGTCAGCGAGCCTGACCACCCGATCCCGTTAGTCGCCTCTTACGACAAGCATAGTCACTTTTTACGGCAAGCATGGGTTGATGAAGACCTATTCTACCCCGGAATCTTCACGGGTCTGTTTTGGATGAAGGCTCACAACGTGTAATGTTTAAGAATGTCTGCTGATACTTTATTTCATGTAAATCCTAAACATCAGATTAAATGGATACGTTTTACTGCTCAAATTGACCTTTAATACAAATGTATACCAATACCAACCTGAAAGGCTTTCGACGCCGATGACAGCCGATCCAACGGCAGCAGTAACAGCCAGGTCGCAATCAAATACATCCAGCAATGCTTCGGTGATGACGCCCACAGAATAGCACATGAAGCCATTCAAAAACAAGCAGGAGAAGCTACTCACCAGGATGACCCAAGCCCAGCCTTTGTCGATGTTCTTTGATGTAATCGTCATCCTAAGTTATTACTGGAAATATACATACAATATGTATTGCTTGTAGAAGAAAAAAGACATTAAGCTTAATATTCCGAATCTGTTAAATGTTATAATTGTTATGTAAGAATTTTAGAGAATCTATGTTTGTAGTTGTTTTCAGTGAGTTAGTGAGTGAGTTGGGTTTAACGCCGCTTTTAACAGTATTACAGTTGTATCGTGGCGTGTCAGCTTGATGTGGGAGGAAAGCCCGAAGTGATGCAGGTCTCAGACGTTTACCACGGTGAAACTCACGAGCACGGGTATGGTGCTGACAAACCTAGAAACATAATCGGGGCGAACCGGGATTCGAACCCACAATCATAGGTTTCTGGCGTGCCAAAGGGACGCAACTCTGCACAGCCTTAGACGACTAGGTCACCCGTGCCCCCAGTTGTTTTCAGTGGCAGTAAATATTGAACCATTAGCGAGTGGAGCTTCCGAATGGCATAATACTATACTTCATGCTTGTTGTATATATGAACATGATAGGTTTGATCGATCGAGACGTTTTGGGATGAGACAGTTTCTTGGAGGCAGGCAGAGCATCAAGGGGTGATTCGACCCCTTTTTCGACCTGACTTTTTTCTATTATTAATTGGAATATTCGTGTGTTCACTTACATAATTTTGGGCCTGTTACTTGTTTGAACTATTGTAGGGCCTTTTTCTCATGGAAAGTAAAACTATGCGTTCGAATGTAATTGACTGATCATACGACCATTTGTACATTTCCTCCTGTGCGATACGATATTTGGGTTAACATCTGTGTTTCACCACGTATCGCAATACACAACAAGAAATAAGGTAATGCATACTAGAAATAGATAAATGCAAGGATAAAGCAGATAAATATACAATGTATACAATGTCAAATATACATAGTTGATATAAACACTGTGACCAAACCCATGTCTTAATAATTAACAATAGTCTTTAATACAATCCGGGAAGAACTTTATTTATATTCACAGAAAGTGTTTGAGACAAGTGGAATGAATACCATTTAGATTCTAGAAAAAATAAAGGATTTGCTTGACATTTGCAATCTCAGAAAAGAACCATTTTCAATTCTGTCAAAACATTTGATTTTTCAATAAAACACGTCATTCCTTGATCCATGGGGCTTTTGTTACAAAACGTGTTGACCTTAGATTTAGTTATATATCCGGTAGATATACAGGTTCAGGTCAGTTTGTAAAAAATGAAAGCAAATGCCACCCGAGGTGTACTGAGAAAACAATACGAAAGATGCTCGACTTCCTCAATGATAAAATCTATGTGACATTTAGACGTCAGACATTCAGGCCAGAAGTAGGCATCCCCATAGGCATCACTTTGGCTTCTCTTCCTGCTGGACTGTTCTTTCAGCATATGAATCGGAATTTCTGCTCGCATTGGCAAAATGAAACAAGAGTCATCAGAAAGATGACATATCCCCCCGGCAGCTGTCTGTAAAGTAACCACTAGTAAATGTGCAATTCTGTATGTAATGAGTTAAGAGTTGAATGTTCTTTAAGAAGCATATATTGTTAACCAACTGAATGGTTTTCGAAAATTCTGGCCCGGAATCGAATCCGTTCCCCAATTGAGTCTATGTCCAACTTCATTCCATAAAAATTAAAAAAAATTAAAATTAGAAAATCCCAAAATATCAAAAGGCACCACTTCAGTATGTGCCTGATAGCTTTGCCAAGTTTCGATCAAATACACTGAATGTTTTTCGAATTCTGCCCCGGAAACGAACCCCATCCCCAATTGAGCCTATGTCCAACTTCATTCCATAAAATTAAAAAAAATTAAAATTAGAAAAATATCAAAAGGCACCACTTCAGTATGTGCCTGATAGCTTTGCCAAGTTTCGATCAAATACACTGAATGGTTTTCAAATTCTGCCCCGGAAACGAACCCAATCCCCAATTGAGCCTATGTCCAACTTCATTCCATAAAATTAAAAAAAATTAAAATTAGAAAAATATCAAAAGGCACCACTTCAGTATGTGCCTGATAGCTTTGCCAAGTTTCGATCAAATACACTGAATGGTTTTCAAATTCTGCCCCGGAAACGAACCCCATCCCCAATTGAG